AGAGAGAGAGAGAGAGAGAGAGAGAGAGAGAGAGAGAGAGACGATTCCTTATTTCTTGTGTCTTTTATCTCTTGCAAACCGATGTTTCCCAAATCTCCACTCATGTTTTGGAGTGTGCACGTGTTCTCATCTGCCATTTCACAGGCACTTAAACCCAAAACTACCTATCACACAAACCCTATCTCTCCAGTTCTCTTCATATTTGCTATCTTTCTGTTACAACACAACAGATATTCGGTTGATTCCTGTCTCAAACTCAGAACACACTAGCCCCTTTCCTGGAAAATTCACAGAAGGTGTTAAATGTTACGTTCCAAGCAGCAGCAGCAGGAAAAAAAAGTGATTTGGAACAAGCAGGACAAGAACTGTGTAGTTTGTATACGTCGTGATCTACCGTGGCTGAACAAACGTCAAAAGGCAGGACGGATGCAAGGAATAGAACGTTTACTGCTTCCATGTCATCATAGCTTATGTGTGGACATTAGTGCTGGGCAGTATACCGGTTTTAATTTCTCGTATGATATCAATTTTTCCCACACCATCACACCGGTGCATAGCCGAAACAACTGCTGTCGCTCATCAACAGGCAGCAAAATGTATTGTTCGCCGCTAAGAGCGCTACGGTCGGAGCGTCTTGAGAGGGACCCCTAGTCATGGTTATAACTTTATAAAAACAATTAATAACCCAAAAACATTTAATAACCCACAACTAACGCTTAACAGGGCAAAACACCACGACACAACAGTTTGTGACACATAAACAATTTGTAACACTAATAATTGTACATTTATAAAATGACACCGCCGAACTGCATGCTGGGTACAGCTCGCTAGCTAGCTAGCCCGCTAGCACAACAGTCTACTAACAGCTAGTCCGCTAGCTCCGTCGCTACATTAAAGAACAGAAAAGAGCGATGCATGAGGAACAAAGAGAGACTGGAGATGCACCAATACAATTTGTGCCCAAGAGAGGAGCTGCGTCTGCTGTTTGGAGGTTTTTGGGTTTTAAAAATTCCGACGTAGATCAAAAGACGATATATTGTAAAGTTTGTCGAGCCACTGTTATTGCCACTGGTGGCAACACTAGCAATTTACTCCATCACCTCAGCCGAAAACATGTTTTGGAATACGAAGAGTGTATGCGATTACGGTCCTCGGATGCTTTTTTGGGTATTTTGGTCAGACACATATGCAACGCTGATTACCGTGTAATATGTGTGGTATTTGTTATAAATGTATGTTGGTACATAGAGGGTACATAAGAAGCTGTACATGGAGGGACTTAGGACCCAGGGGAATGTAGGTGAAGGAAACAGGAAATGAAGGAAACAGGAAGTGACGGAAGACACACCATACAAACAGCTGTTCACCACTCGCTGGCCGGTTGGCGGCCGGTTCTTTTTTTCACACTTTATTTTTCTGCTTTTCACCAGACAGACAGACAACACATACACAAAACATACATTTAAAAAAAGGATCTGGATTGCTCTGTCTCTTCAAAAACATGATAACTCCTGTGAAATATTCAGGTTGTGTTATCGTTGACATGTAAACATCGTCCATTTCTCCCACTTCTCACGACATCGCTCCACTTGAGCTCTTATTCTATGAGTTAATAGTTCCATTTCATACATTTCAGTCACAATTTTCAGCCATCCATCTTGTGATGGTGGTTCTGCCTTGTGCCATCTCTTCGTGATAGCCTTCTTACAAGCTGCTAGCAAGATTTTCAGTAAATACCCGTCTTCTCTTAACACAGTGTCTGCTGTCAGATTACCTAAGTAGAGAAACATACATGACTTTGGTATATCATAGCCCAGAATTTGGACTATAACCATATGGACATTTCCCCAAAACTACAATTTCCGGACATAGCCAAAATACATGAGAGTGGTTTACATTTACTGCCCCACATTTCCTCCAACATGGCTGGACAATAGACAGACATTTGTTTGTAATTTGGGGATTAATAAAGAATCTGATTACATTTTTCCAACAATGTTCTCTCCAAATACGCGAGGATGTTGAAGACTGTTGTGTCCTCCAAATATTCAACCATTCAGCCTCTGTAATATTCACACCAAGTTCTTGTTCACATTTCAGTTTAACATAAAAAGTTGTATTTTCTAATTTTTCCATCAGATGTTGATATATAGTCAATATGATTCTATATTTCTTTGAGTTGTAAACTCCTATTATGGTTCTGATTATTCCATTTTTATCCAAGTTAATTTTGTGCTTTATTTCTCTGTCGAAAAAGTCCCTTAATTGCAGATATCTGAAGTGGTCCTGGTTATTTAGTGAGTATTTGTCTTTCAGCTCCTGGAAACTCACAACACTCCCATCTTTAATGACTGTGCATATTGCTGTTATTCCATGTGAAATCCATTGTTTGAACCTCAGATCGAGAGTACCCGGGATAAAATGCCTATCACAGGCTATCCATCGTAGAAGCCTGAGCTCTTGTTCTAATCTGTATTTTCTTATCAGTTTAAACCACATCTCTAATGTAAATCGGGTGACAACATCCATCTGGTCAAGAAAATCCTTTGCTATATTTCTGTCTCCGATAAGGCTTTGAATTTCCCTTCCTTCTATATATCGTTCTAGGTTTTTCCATTTAGCTTCATAATCATTGGTACACCAATAAATTACTGGTCTAATTTGAGCTGCATGAAAATATGCCCTAAGATTTGGTAATGACATGGCATCTATTCTTATCACTGACGGACATCAAACATGGTTCAAACATTTACAGTGTATAATCATAGACTGTGTATAAGAAATGGACGTAGTCAATGTGATGTCACCAAATGTTTTGTGACTACCGTTTTGCCATCTTGGTTTTTTTTGCAACCAGAAGTGATACGAGAGAGTGGAGCTTTGTACAACCGAGTGGTGAACAACACATTTTTAGGCAACCAAAACGTTAACTTTTTAACTAATTAACTTTCATGAACTGAAAACACGCCCTAAAGCATACCCTGCTTTATCGTCTATTTGACTCTAAATAGGACAATCATTATAATACTTGAGACCATATGAATGATTGATACCATAAACTCATGTTTACAATGTTTACTGAGGTAATAAATCAAATGAGAAGTAGAGTAATTTTCTCATAGACTTCTATACAATCTGACTTCTATTGGCAACCAGAGGAGTCGCCCCCTGCTGGCCATTCGAAAGAAAACAGGTTTAAGCACTTCCGCATTGACTTCACTTTTCCGAACCGGTGTGTATAATGCCCCGCTGTGAAATAAAATTAGCATATGGGTCATTACATTACAGTCATTTAGCAGACTTACAATTCAGATTCTATCACAATTCTACACTGTAGGCACAGCTACGGGAGCAATTTTGGGGTTAAGTGTCTTGCTCAAGGACACATCGACATGCGACTAGTGGAGCCTGAGCCGGGGATCGAACCGCCGATCCTCTGATTGAAGGACGGCCCTGCTATCCACTCCGCGCTTTTGTAACACGGTAGCTTTGTAATAATGTGCTGCAGGGTGGACTCACCCTCGTTGCACAGCGCCCCTTTGAATCCTGGCAGACAGTCACACTGTCCTGAGACATGGTGACACGGTCCGTTGCTGTGGGCACACTGTGGACAAGTCTGACTGCAGCGATGACCAAAGTAACCTGGAGAGCAGACTGTGGGCAAACCAGGGGAAACACGAAGATGAGTTCATTTAATCTGCATACAGTTTTGACCGAATCGTTATCTCTGAAAGAAGGATCATGCGATCGGTCAGGTGTGTGCATCCCTGACTGAGTGTGCACCTCTGTGTTTGTCCTCGGCTAGTCTCGCATTCTGCTGCAGCAAACTGCATAATATTATCAGTGCCCAGCTATGGCTGCATGCTCAAGGACCTCTCATGACTCACCAAAAGGACTTTTAATGCCTGTTGACTGCCTGATGACTCCTCCCTCACTACTCTCAACCAGCCCCCAGCCGGAAGGGGCCACTAGTGATAAAACAGCTGAGTGCACCCCCAATCTCCCACAACCACACACTCTGCTGTACCTTCCAGCAACAAGGTTGACAAGGTTGTATGAAGTGTAATATACAACTTTGGGCCAATTGCTTGCATACATCGCTGCTTGTTTTTGAGTTTGAATGAAGTATGTATTATGACACCTTACAGCCTTACTTAGTGTCTAGACCCACAATTAGCCAATTGGTGGTTGTATTAATTCAATCACACAATACAGCATTGTTGTTGCAGACACACCTGGCGGGGATCTAATGAGTGCAGCTTTCTAGTTTTCTAAAGTAACATCTAATTATGAAAATGTTGGCAATGAAGATTTCTGCATAACATAGAATAATGAATCAGAATTACATTTCATATCAACATTTCTACATACATGTATATCAATGTTAGTGTTTTAACAGCTTGTGGCGCTTTTGCCGTCTAAAAACTGCATTCACACTTTACTTGAACCTTGGTAAATCCATAGAACTAGACAATTAGCAGCACTTATCATATCCCACCTCCTTCCTTAAATGTGTAGAAGCAGAGGATCAGTTAACTGATGACACAAGACCTGCTATTCATATGACAGGTACACTGTCATGACCAGTGCCAGTTGATTGTTTTCAAGCATGTACGTAGATGAGACGTCCTAAAAGTTCTATGGAATAAATCATAGCAATACTCATATAAACAAACCAAAGCTCCATCTCCATCACTAATGATGACTGTGTGATACAACTGAAAGCTTCAGAAAAAAGCTAGAAAGTGGGACTTGAAAGGAGTTTTAAGTTGTGAAAATGTTTTGCATGTGAGGGTTGTGTTACTTCTTCTTTTTCAAAAAAGCATGAACTTTAAAAGAGTTTGACCAAAGTCACCAAAGTAAAGGGCAACATTTAATTGCTGAATATGACGCGTGTCAAAACCCCCACACCCATCCAGACTACCGTGCAATAGCTATCCCATGCCTGGACTGGTGCAGAAACGCACGCATGTTTTTTTATATAGTAATACTAATGGGAGACCATTCAAGAGTCGCAAACTTGTCAGTTATCTGGTGAAGATTTGAAGATCCTGTTCTTTACCAAGTTTTGGAGATTTTGCAAAATTAATTGTGGATTTATTGCTTTAAGTCTTGGAGAGGAGAGACTGAGTCCAAGACTGGAACACGGAGACATCACTACAATGAAATCAAATTGGTCAGAAACACGAGCATTCAGAGGACAAGATTATCTAAAGCACTTTATTTGGAAGTGAGAGTGAAATATCACTAACAATCCCTCATTGAACTACAACAAGTACAGTGCTTTACGTCAAAGTTGAAACAGGAAGTGGGTCTTTAAACTGTGATGGGTGTTTGGGTAGTCCTTTTACGCTTCAACTTCTCTTCCAAACTCTTTTGACCAAACTGTCTGATCATCCTACTCATATTTCTGATTTATTTTTAGCCCAGATCTGGGCTTTTAACTTGTAGAGTACAATGTTATTATTTCTACTCGGATTGATGGACAAAACTATGAAAAAAAGACAGAATATGAAATTAACTCCATTATCCTTTATGTCAAGCATCAGCTGTGTGATGATCTTGCAGTTCAAGTGGTAGGACTTACTCCTTTGACAGTTGGTGCCTCTGTATCCTGGAGCACACTCACAGGTCCCTTCATCTGGAGAGCAGGAGGCTCCGTTCTTGCAGTTACAGGGTAGGGAGCAGTTTGGGCCCCAGCGGCCCTGTGCGCACACACTGTCACAGTGGATACCTACTCGCACACAAATGCAAATACCTTTCAGTGTATTGTGTACAGAATGCATGCAAAAGTGTAAACTGAGTACTGACCCCAACCCTAACCTTAACCTAAAATAAACACAGTCTGAACCCTCAAAAAGGCCTTTGAAGAAATGAGGATGTAATCGCTTTCCGAAAATGTCCGCACTTTGTTGGTTGAAAAATTGTACGGTCCTCACTATGTAGTAAGTACAAGAATACACAAACACATACACACACTTTATCACCAAATATCAGCACCATAGAGTGCAGGAAGTAGGTAATATTTTTGGTGTACTGTAAACTTAAAATATTTAAACAGACTATGAGAACATTGATCCTGTATTAGGCCTTACCAGTCCATCCGGCCAGACAACGGCAGTGACCAGTAGAGTGGTGACATCCATCAGCATGACTGCAGTCACAACGTTCCTTACAGTCCAGACCATAGGTGCCATCCTGAGGTGGAAGAACAATAACCATCACAGGTCCATTCACGTTTAGACTTTAGAGAGAAACTCAATGCTTTTAAATCCTATTTTACTTCCACAGCATCCTGTGTTCTTACTGTACAGGGCAGTTAATATTCTTAAAAGTGTACAGTATGAGATCAAATATACCAGTACCAGTGTCTATAGCCTCAGAATAACCACAAGGTGACTCTCACCCTGAAAAAAGTGTGATGCACTAAAATGTTTGATGCTTGTATGGGACTGTATTTAGGATTTGTACAGGCTGCAAGAGTGGATAGAGAGAGTCATATAGCTTAAACAATGGCACACTAGAGAAAAGTAAGAACAAGAGAATGTTTGGGAAAAGTGCAGTCCCCTCTACATGCCAAATGCCCTGTTTCACAGCTGTTGGCAGCTGCACTAATTAATTTAGTTGATTCTTTTCCGCACCCGCATTCCATGAAGACTCGCCCTACTCTGCCTCTGATTGGCTAGTACCCGGTGCCCTCTTTGCAGAATTTGTGAGGTTTATTGCTAATGAGCAAGATTGGTGGAGGGTTGGCAGAGTAAATGATTTCAACTCAGCCCCTCTTGTATAGTGCTCTCCTTTATAATTACAATGTCCTTGATTATGGGAGAAGAAAGTAAAACTTTATTTTTTATGTAGAGTAATAATTAAACTTGATGTTAATCTTAATGTTGATAAGGCTTTTGAAAATATCAATACTATCAATAGCTGTAATTTGTAGTGTTGAAACAGACAAAAAGGATACCAGTAGAAAAGTGAATTTCAGTGGACTAGAGCTGAGATTTCCTCTTTCCCCTGCTGACACTTATTAATATTGATCACATTCAAAATATACAGTATGGTAGCATCCATGTCCTCTCACCTGGCAGTGGAGTTCACACCTCTCTCCTCTCCAGCCTGGAGCACAGGTACAATGACCGTCCAGGGCGTTGCACGCTCCTCCGTTCCCACACATACAGGTGAGGTTACAGCCCAGACCCCAGGTACCACTGGGGCAGTTGATGGAGCATTCAACTCCATGCCACCCTGATTAAACAATCTCAGTGAGATTTAAACACACCCTTAACTTCGGTAACAGTAACAGTAGCAAGCATCATAACCATTCAGTGTAACATGAGGATTAGAATACACAGAAAACATTTTCCCTGAAAGAACGCCGAAAGCTAAAGTCATCAAGCTCTGATTTAAACAAGTAGACTGCAACCAAAAGGTTGGTTTGAAAAGAGTCATTGTGTTTCATCATGAAGTCATTCCACTAAGCCTTTTACGAGCGAGTTATTCAGGAAAACAGAGAGAATCCACAGAGTGGTGTGGTACCCTAAAGGCTGTAATAGTAGATCATTCTCATTTGTTGTGAATCAATAACAGACTTTTAAGAATAACAATTTTAGTTTAAAAAAAATCACGCAGCATGAAATATCTTTTCATATTATTGACATAATTACATACAAATACATTGCACAATTACATTTCAATATGTTTTTTATATGCTCCTCTCTTCCTCCTCAGCTCACCTGGTTTACAGGAGCAGGATCCGTCCACAGGTGAACACTGAGCTCTGTTCTTACAGTTGCAGCTGGAGGAGCAGTATACTCCATGTGTCCCTGCTGGGCAGGGGACTGTACAGTTGGGACCCTGAAAGGGTCGACACAGAAGATGAATAGTTAGAACTGTCAGTTATATCACACATCCTCTAAACGCACAGCTCCGTAGCACTGAAGAAACATGATCAGTTAATCTGCTGTATTTGACTAAGTTACACCAACAAGTGCCTCAAAGCGGTGCGTTCCACATTTCTTTTTCTTGTCTAGTTGTCACATAATTGGACACCTTTTGTGACAACCAGTTCTCCAGCGGACATCAGATGTGTTTAGCAGATGTGTGACACATCTGCAGAGCTTCTATATGTGCAGCAGAGCAGGACAGTGAGGTACTGTGTGCTTGCTCATATCAATTAACCGTTGAACCTCATTGTGTTGGTAGAAATTAAAAGCAATATCAAGAGCATGCATCAAGCAGCCAGGATGAGACATCTGTTTTTATCACAATTCATGTTGAAGACTTCTGATATGAGAAATATGCTGGTTTTCCCCGGCAGTAATGTCTCCATGACAAGCACTACTGTGATGGCTATAAAAGTGCTTTAAGCAGATACAGTAAAACAATGAGGACTTGTCTGCTAGGCCTGAGTTCAGAACAACACACTTGGAAATGGTTGTGGTTGTGTGTGGTGTGTACATCTGAACATGAGGTTCGATGAGATTGTTTCAATCAAATGAAATGACCTAATAGTTAAAATAATAGTGAAATAGTTTTGAGAAATAGGCGTATTTGCTCTCCTTCCATCTATCTGTGTGTCAACTTAGCATTAAGACTGGAAGCTCTGCCCAAAGTTAACACACCAACAGCTCTAAAGCTCACTGACTGATACATTGTATCTGGTTTATCTTTGTAGTTCCATAACTACAAAGAAAAAATAACTACTTTTCTAACAACAGCTTTTGCTGATCTTGCGATAGTTCTTCCTGCTGCCACTCAACGTCACTAAAGAGCTGCATTCTCACTGATAGCACCTTTGAGGTGTACTGGGTGAGCACATGGAGCCATGCACTGCATAACTGACATGTTCAGTGTTAGTGAAGATTTTCAGTTCCTAAAGTAGGCTATTAGTGTCTTCTGGTCTTGGGTTGCTGGCAAAGACTTGCCTCAAGGGCTTTGAGACAGGCGATATGCTCACAACCACACGCCTCATCATACATGTACTGTATAAGCCTCATGAATTAACATGATAGGTGACCTAAAGCACATTGTGACATGACAGAAATGGGGTTTTACCGTGAAGCCGGGAGCGCAGATGCACTCTCCGGCCACACTGTGGCAGTCGGCACCGTTCTGGCACTGGCACACCTGCTGGCAGGACTCTCCATAAAATCCCGAGGTGCACGTCTCGTTGCAGTACAGGCCTGACCAGCCAGGCTGACACGTACACTCCCCTGACATCGGGTGGCAGCTGGTGAAAAGAGAGGAACATATAGTTACATTGTACTTCATTCTTGTTTAGTTATTGCTCATACTGTAGGCCTATCATTGCCTGTCAGATTCCTAATTTCCAGTACCTGAATCTTTATCAGGGTCTAAAGGGTTGATTGTGCTTGAAACAAATGTGTTTGTACTTGTCGGCACACAAAACAACACGTGCTGTCTTATGCCATCCTGAATCAACAGATCTCTGCGACAGGTAAACTAAATATCCTGCATTCCAACAGCATTGTAAACAATACAGACTCATACAAACAGATTTCACCCCGCTTGTAACAGCTAAATTAAACTGTAGTATCTTGGCAGCCACTTTAAATCAGTGAGAAATAAATGAAATTTAAGTTCAGCATAGTGTCTCTACCACCTGATAATCAGCTCATGAGATGCTCACAGCTCACAATGTCTGACCTGGTGCCTCATATGCCGCCTACACTCCATTTTACTGGATTTTCCAGCCCTTGCTGCCGCCAGCACGACCAAATGGAACTGTGCCTGAAGACACATGTGGGGTTTCACTTAGTTTTTCAAAATAAAAGGTAATGAAGTAGATCACTGGGTGAAGTGCTTGTCAGATGCTGTTGGACTGACAAGCACTCTGTTTGAAACATACTGAGGCCTGAAGGATGGTGATGTTGTTGTTCAGATCATAGGCACCGAACATGCCTATCAGGCTCAGGTCCAGGGGGCCCAAAGTGAGGCCCCCTGGCCTTCGCCTACAAAATGTCATTAAACGAGACAATGACCAACAAGTTAAAGAGTCAAAGTGACGACAAAGAAACATGAAACAACTGCAAAGAGACACTCAATGACTACAAAGAGAGTTAAAATCACAACAAAGAGATGCAAAGCAGCATGACGGTGAGTATCTACTTGACACCATAGATACTCACCGTCATGCACCATAGATAAGTAGTGGACGTAGTCATCGTGACGTCACCCATTGGTTTGTTGACTGATGTTTTGAAGCCTTAAATTCGGCAATTTTGCCGTCGCCATCTTGGATTACGGAATTCGCCATGTTGTTTTTTTGGCAACCAATGAATGGAAGTTACCATATTTGGAGTGACAAAGAGACGGCGTATAGGTCTCTGGTAGTGTCAGCAACCTGTCAATCACAGTAAACCCCGCCCTAAAGCATACTCTGCTTTATGGTCTGTTTGACCCTAAATGGACCATAATTTACTAAATGAACATCATGCTGTATTGAAGAAGACTTGAAACTAGAGATTGAGACCATAAACTCATGTTTACAATGTTTACTGAGGTAATAAATCAAAAGAGAAGTAGAGTCATTTTCTCATAGACTTCTATACAAACAGAGGAGTTGCCCCCTGCTGGTAACTAGAGAGAATGCACATTTTAAAACACTTCTGCATCGGCTTCATTGACAGAACCGGAGGTTGCCGCCTGCTTGACACACATGATATAGCTACACATGACATAAACAAAAAGGAAGACACCAAACCTGAGCTCACCACTTTATAAGTCGAAATGTCCGGAATCTAAACCGAACCACAATATTTTGTCGAGACTCGTGAAGGTCGTTCTGGGAAGCAGAACTCTAAGAGAGGCTCTATTGTTCCGTAAAAAACTGGAGCAAAAAAACTGTGCAGGTGTAACTGACTCTGATTCTGAAGGACTCTGAAAGTCTCCATGCCAGCAGGGTGGATATTATCTGCAGTAACACAGGTGGAGCCGGCCTGTGCTTGTCAGTGATTGTGTTTGACTGACAGCTGGCCCACCTGACACAGCACTCCCATTGAGGAGCAGCAGGACAGCTGTTCTCTGCAGACACATGCAGCCCCCAGCTGTGCCAGCCCAACCGATCACTGACTACTGGCCCACAACGGTCAGCTATCTCCAGGGTCAACCATCAGAGTGACAAACATATACAGACAACACATGAATACTTCTTCCTGACAACATACAGATTGGAACACTGAGCGTCATTTTTTGGAATATTACAAGCAAACTCTGTTTTTCAAGATGTTCAAATTAGAGAACAATAAATTGATCCCACCTATTATATGCAGGTTAAAGTTTGAAGACTATATACTTGCATACCTGCGTGTGTTCTGGGTGTAGCACGGACACTTCCTGTCACACCGGAGGCCGTAGCGTCCTTCAGGACACAGTCGGGCGTCGCATGTCTCCCCTGTGTATCCTGGCTCACACAGACACATCCCGTTGGTGTGGTAGCACTTGCTGTTGTTCTCACAACGACACGTCTTTGCACAGCCAGCACCATAAGTACCAACCGGACACTCGTCCTGGCACCTGTTCACAGCGAGAGACACAGCGGTGGAGGTGATCAACAACTTCTTCACCCAAGCGAATGAAACACCTCTCTATGTTGTTACTCTTATTGCAACCGTTTCCTTTTTAATTATGTAATGGAACATGTTTTGTTCATATGAGATGAATATGCTTTTGGTGTATTGCCCCGCATATTAAGTTGACACATTTCTTTTCTTGACAATGATTTTTTAAGGTGGGAAAAAAAGGGATGTTAAGCATGACTCTCTCGGTTTAGCAATATGTGCACACAAATGAATTACAACAAACAAAGGAACCCTGCACACGGTTAAATAAACTGTGCAAACAGTGCTAAAGCCAGACTCCCACATCGTGCATCGGGCATTCTGATTGAAATGAAAGAATTCTGTCAAAGCACTTTGAATTGCCTTGTTGTTGAAATGTGCTATACAAATAAACTTGAATTGCCTCAAATGTTTTGTTTTAAGCAATGTAATACAATATGTCATAGTCATACATGACTCATAACTTGTGCCAGAAAAATAGTAAACAACATACTAAATACTACATGTGCTGTGTTTAATAGACTGCAAACAACTGAGTCACAGCCCACGCACAGTCCCTAGTTCCAGCCCAAGTTATACATCTCTGCATTTGTCTTTTTTGTATTCAGACATATCCTCATCCGCTTCACATGCACACACACACGCACACGCAAACACCAATACCTTTTCATGATGATGATTTCAGATATGTGTATTGCTCTTGTCACTGGAGTATATATTATTTATTTATGTATTATTTTTAAGAGATTCCATTACAAAAAAGAAGATCACCTTTTTTTGCCATTATGGTATAGAGTCATTCCAAAAATACACAATGAAACTAAAATAATTCCAGTTGTTCAAGTTATGACTTATGATTGAGTTTCTGTGAGAAAACACTTGAATTTTGAAAGATGATGGTCATTGGATGCATTTAGTTTATAACTGCTGACTGTGTAAATTCAGCAATGAGAATTGATTGGAACTAACTGTAAAATAAAACGTGTAAATACAAACGCCTCTTCACAAATAAAAAAAACATTTATTTGCACTGAGATTGGCTGGACACTGCATGCATGTCAGAGTATGCTATTTTCCTGACACTTCAATGAAAAATTGTATCATTTTCATTGTGAAGGCAGCAACAGCATGTGGTAAAGATTAGACAAAGACATGAGTGGGTCAAAGTGTCAGAGTCAAGCATGCTCATCCACCCCCTGAACTCCGTACTAGGAACCAAACATTAGGAATTAACCTCTGGGGTCCGTGAATATCCAACTAATGACAATGCAGATATCGATATATAGACGGCATCAACTATCATCAAGAACATCAATATTCATTCTAGATATATAAGATATAGAACTTTGCTGCAGGTACCAACTAAATAAAATACATCACCCTCCTCTGTCCGACAGTGAGTGAAGTAAAACACCACACACTGCTGACTGCAGTAGAAGGCTGTGTGGTGGTCCCACAGCTCTCTCTTAATCACAGTCATTGCTGGAACAGAGAGCTTCAGCTAATGTGGCTGCAGCTAAGCAAAACAAACAGTGTGGAAATGAATGCAGCGGATCCTCATTATCTCATCCATGGCTACACAGTGCAAACAAATCAGTCCAACCACCAAATCAAGCTGGGTTTGAAAAATGAAATGCCCTGCTCTGGTCCCGTCATTTAGAGCAGGCAAGAAGAAGAAAAAGACATCAACTCAATTGTGTTTTAAAGTAGTTCAAGATTTTTTCTGAACCTTCACTTTGCAATTAACTTTGTATTCTGTATTTGTATTTTCTTTTATCTTAACGCCCCATTTTATCATCACATTCTTGCAAAGCACTGCCAAAATGCAGTGGTGTCCCCCCAAGTTCCATTGGGTTCGGGTGTGGCACGGTTAACCCACTCCTCAGCAGCGCCATACTGTGACGTTCAGCTTCCCTGAAACCCTCATTTACTTATGGAGGGGCTATTCCTGTCTCGTCCCTGGTCTGCTTAAGTATATGGTGTGTGCTCTCTGATATTGCTAATTATATGGGCCTGAAGCCCTGCGTGGTGCTCTGCTGAGATCTGTCAGTGTAAACACCGACTGGGCTTCCTGGTTTGGTTTTTCTCTCAGCTCTCTGGAGGATGTGGAAGAGTTAAGCAGACACACATGATCTGATTTGGATTTTTGTGTGTGTTTGCTTGACTCTTCAGCATGTCATAATGAGGTCAACACAAGTTTTACCGTCTTCTGTAAGGGCAATAAACTGATAGGTTTTGCACTTAGCATCTTAAACTTTAAAGTAACTAGTAACTAAAGCTGTAAGATAAATGCAATGAAGTAAGAGGTACAATAATTGCCTCTGAAATGTAAAGGAGTATTAGTAGGACTATCGAGTAAGACAATGTGAATACTTAAGTAAATTAGAAGTAGCTCCAACTTGAACCTAAGTAACCTACAGTACTTGAGTAAACATACTTAGTTACTTTCCACCACTGAACAAAAGTCTGAGTAACTGGTCCTGGGTTTGATCCCCTCTAAGCCAACTTTCCTCTTACAAGTGCAATGACTGTATTTTTGCATATAATATGCAGTTTTTTAAAAGTTATTTATCTATGCACATACTTTTGTACTTTATTTTGCTGATTGGGTGGGCAAAATAAAATCTTCAATTATCTTGTTTTAATGGAGCATTGTTGCTGAGACTACTTTGAGTGGTGGATAAATCCATGCGTATAGTGCTTAAGTATTTCTAACAGCAGGATGGTGTATGTGTGACTGAGTCAAAATAAACTACAGTTTGTGTATTCATGCTAATGAAGGAACATGTGGGGCTCATTGATGTGTTGCTAGTAGTCTTTGGACAACAATGGAACTATGTGGCACAGAGGAAGAAGACATACTGACAGCTGTCTACCTCAAGTGTTGGAAAGTGTGTTGCATTATTATGACAATCAGTGCCCATGAGCTATAATGTCACCAAGCTCCGCGGTAGCATAGCTGCATATTTAACATCGTTTTTACGGTGGTGATTTGTTTTTTTCTGTTCTGATGTTTGGGTTAGGGTTAGGGTTTAAAAACACACTATAAAATTGTGTTAATCTAAATGTCAGCTCATTTCTTCACTGTGGTGAAACATCATTAAAAACACCCACTAGAAAGATTAAAGGGACAAATCTTGAGACACCCTTAGCCCATCCTTACAGGGCACCCTTTACTTTGAAGGAGCATTCAGACAATGAATGGCTGCTGCTGTGGCTCTCTGTATTTTGAATTGGCATATAAGTGATGGTGGAAAACTATGTTGAATTACAGGGACACATTATTCCTGTGTGTGATTGCTCACTTGCTTTCCAAAAGCAGAAGTGGCATTCATTGTTTTATTCTCCAAGAGCATTCAAATGCTGTGCTGTGAGATACATTAGAATTATGATAGTTTCTGTTTTTGATTTCGTTCATCTTTGTCCCAGTGAACTTTTAACAGCCCACACCATCTGCCTCTGGATGTAGATTTATGGTGCTGTTTATTCACATTGTGTCGCTCTGCACCATTCAGACAGAAGTACGATTTCTCAAAGAAGCTTTCTCATTTTGTTGATCCACCGTTGTCATTCTTCACTGTAAAGCATTCACACAGCATGGAGACGCCCACACGGTACATATGTGTGCACAACACCTAGGACCTTTCACTGGTTGTTGTGTCGGTGCCATTAAAATAAGCTGCTAAATATTGCTCAGCCGCTTGTGTATGGAGAGAAATTTTGTCTCAATGTTGGTGACAATGCATGTTTCATAATATACAAACAATGATTTTGATGATTTGTGAGTCATATATGGTCTTCACAAATACACAAGGAATGAATAAGTGCCAAAAACTGCAGTTCTTCTAAATGGCCACATGAAGCCGGCTCCAAAAACAAGTCAATCTCCATAGCCCCCCCTTTGAATCTTTGACATGACAAAGACAGCGCAGTCAGCACAGTCAGCGCAGCGAAGTAAAAGTTGAAGGCAAAATATGAAAATGCTTCATTAAATAACATCTAATCAAATGGGGAAAATGCCTTTGCGACTTTGAAATATGCAAGAATGCGCTGAAAAGCCTGGTGTCCGTGTTTTCCACCAGCACCTATGTATGCGTCATTAGTGTGTCAGCAACCGTGAAAATAGTCCACACACAAATTAACCCAATCCCCACATTTCACAATCTGTAAATATTCGCAAAAAAATCTTCACAAATATTTTGAGACATTTATATGCGTATGAAGCTTTTCAAAAGCATCTATGAACTTGAGGTGGGACACATGTGTGTAAAATACTGACATTTATTGGGTGACTTGAAATTAAGCTATATCACTACAAACTGCTGCATACTGTAACATTGTAAAGGTTGCTCTTACCGTTCTCCTGTGTACCCAGGACTGCAGAGACACTGTCCAGTGGACAACACACAGAAGCCGTTGTTATGACACTGACATTCTTGGGAACAGTTTTGTCCAAATCTCCCCTTTGGACATGGCTGGCCACACACTGTACCCTGCACACAGCAAAGACAACAGGAAAATACACAACTGTTGATCATGTGAGCCTTAACACCTTCAAATCTTCAAATACATGTCTCTATGTTTTCTAGGACTGCTGATTTGTGTGATTGTGGATTGCGATGGATATGTTGAAAATAGATGAATTCATTTTTCCTATTCATTAATACAGCTCCTGTATTCTGTATTATAGTCTATAACTTCAAAAGCAAACTGTTTAGAGCTCCTTTCACATTATGACCTCAAGATATTGAATCAGGAGACTGATACGCATGTATGTTGGCTTTCTTAATAAAGCCGTTGTAGAATCTCTGTGAGCCATTTAAAGGGGCAGTGTGTAGGATTTGGTGGTATCTTGCAGGGTGGTTACAGATTGCAACAAACCCCTTCGTTCACTCCGCCCTTTTCAAGACTGCGGTAAGGTGAGCTGCCGAGTGCAAAACCGGTAACGCCATTCGCCTCATTCAGAGGACATCCATACCATAATATTATACTTTAGGAGCAATGGAAGTCAGACGGCAGCTGGTGGAACCACAATTATGCACTCTGCGGCTCATATCACCAATTCACAAACGTGTCGAAGAACTACGGTGTTCAGGTAACATTAAAATGCGTAAGGCTCTCTCTAGAGCCAGTGTTTGGTTTGTCATTTCTTGGCTACTGTAAAAACATGGCGGTGCGACACGGCGGACTCCGTGAAGAGAACCCGCTCCTTTAAGTAAATATAAAGGGTTAATTCTAAGATGATGAAAACACAACAATTCTTAGTTTCAAGTGATTATGCACTGATACAAATATATTCCTTTTCTGCTGATAGCTCCCCTGAAACGCTACTCACTGCCCCTTTTAATGTATCAAATATTTTAAAGGAGCCGCGTTGACTGACCTCGTTCCTCCGGTTCAGCTCACATACTAGTGTGTTTGAGGATTTTCCAGGTCTTGTACTCCTCCATTATTTCATGCTCACTCTGCTGCTAAATTCTTTGAGGCCCACTTCTGACTTCTGTCGCGTAGTATATTAACAATATTGCACACTCTCAAACATTATCACTGGGAGTGACAACAAGCTCATTCTTCTAATGAGCTCAACCAAAGGTTTGGGGGTGCGTGGGCCTACCATCCATCCTGCAGGACAGGAGCACTCTCCAGTCACATGGTGACACACTCCTCCATTCTGACACGGACATCTCTCCTCACACTGCTGCCCGTGTTTACCTGGAGGACACAGGTCTTCACAGCTATGAAAGAAACCAAAACACCATTATCCACACCGTTATTATTTGCCACTTTTAAAGGTCACATATGGAAGTTTTGTTCATATAACAATCGTAAAACTTGCTCGAGGTGTGGTTAAGTGAGTGTCACATCACTTATATTTTTGGTTCCAAATTGCAATTACATGGTAAATAGAGCTGCCATTAACCATAATTTAGTATTATCTATGCCATGAGATTACGTATTCAGCTGTATGTGTGTGTGTGAGAGACTGTCTAATCTAATCTCTCTACTGGCTAATCTAACACACTACTGGACCCATCAGCCTAATATTATTTGTCCTCATTTATGACTATGCGAAAATGATAAATTCCTCATACAGAAGTTATTTGAATCTTCAGGTTCCACCCAAACGTTTTGTGTCACTTCACAATAACTAAACAGCAGCAAAGTTCTGCTGTTTTACCTGGACTGCATTTAGCCTCTGTGTGGTGATAAAATGTATTCTAGTACAACAAAAAATAATAATTTAAATAATGTATTAATGTTTTGCTGGTTCATAGAAAAAGGTGAGCTCATACTGAAGGCAGTGGAGAAACTGGCTTTGGAAAGACATTTTTCATGCATCTTATCATATCCAGGGACAACACGGACTGCTACCCGAGCATAACAGCTGTTTCTCAATGAGCTTTTACTATAATGACATTATCGGAATCAGATTCTCACACATTCTGTTCTCTGACTTACAAAGCTCCAGTGTATCCTGGTGAGCACTTGCATTCTCCGGTAACATGGTGACAGGCAGCTCCGTTCTGGCACTGGCATTTCTGCTGGCATCCATTTCCGTAGGTGCCCACTTCACACTGGGCCTCGCAGCGCCAGCCTCGGTACCCAGGAGTGCAGATACAGGCTCCGGTGATGGGGTTACACAGTGCAGAGTTCTCGCACTGACATCTGCTACTGCAGTGGGGACCCCAGTGGTTACTGTCACAAGCTGAGGGGAAGATGAAAGAAAAGAATCAAGATTTAGTTTTGTTTTACATGTCTCATGGCACAAGTTAGTTCTGATTGTTGCCGAGCTTCAAGAGGGGAGAGCTGTTCTTATGATAGCTTACTTTGTTATCCTTGCCTTTTCCTATGAATGTCCAGCTGCAGTGTTTTTAAAAAAACAACTACTAGTTAAACTGATAGATGAACAGATACTGATATTGGATATCTGTATCGGTGACACCCGGTCATTTATATACATTATACATTTATATCTATGTAAATATCTATCTATCTATCTACATTTATTATTGTGTATTTTATGTTTTTAGTGTATTGCTTTTATATATGATGATTTTAATGTAAAGTGTCTTTGAGTATTATGAAAAGCGCTATATAAATAAAATGTATTATTATTATTTATATCCCTAGTTATAATAAATATGTTTGAAATACTTGGTTAAGTTTTGTTAACAAAAGTACTTGCTTATGCTTAGGAAAAGATCTTGGTTTGGGTAAAAAGAACTATGAAAGTGGTGTTGCTAAAGTACGTAGCGTGACAAATAAGTCAACAATGACTTCTGGTTTCACACAGGACATGAATAGCGATCTCCTGGGTCCTGTGTTTTTAAACCCACCTGTCCACCCAGACCTCCTCTCTACAGGGACTTTGTCACTCTTTATACTACGTAACCTGTCCTGGCTCATGATTACGTCAATTACATACATACTGCTTACGAATAATAATGCATTACTTTCTGTAGGTATAGCTACAAACAGTGTATGACAAACGACCTGATCTACCACCAGACAAAGAAAACATAACATAAAGACCTTCTAAGTTTATTTAGCCTTCTAACAACCTCTTGTAGTGATTCTTTTTCACTTTTAACTCATGATGCAAGTGCAACAATGATCTTAAAGTGGGTTCGGGACAACCTTTTACAACTGGTGTTGGATCTGATTCCAGAGGAATCCAACTGTGTATACTGCTTGAAGGATGCGGCTGGTGTTATACACAGTATACTTTATAGGGGCAATAGTTGTTTATCTAGATTAGAGGTTCTTATTATTTTCCTTATTATGAACCCATGAAAAGGCCCCAACCAACAATTTGTTCGTTCTTGTCTCAAAACTTTCGGACTTCCCTATTCCGCCTGTCTGTTAAAAGACAATGCTAATGTAGTCAGTCTCCAGAAGCTGGATAACACAAAGCTATTTCCTGCAACAAAATCAAAGTTATTTTATTCTAAGACTGCTCACATTCATTTGACCAAATATCCAGGGTAGTGCAATCATGCTCTTTGAACTGAAGACAATAGCTAAAAGCAAAAAAACTGATGTTAGTAAAGTAATCAATGCTTTTATTGTCTTCTCACTTGGACTACTGCAACTCTCATGAGCTAGTTGCTCGCTGCCAGCTCATCCAAAATGTTGGTGTTGGGATTTTAACAAACTCTAGGAAATCACCTTGCCTCTTTGTGTTGGCTCCCTTTGGCTCAACATTTTCCTGAAAAAAACAAACAACATCCACTGGAAAATAACAAAAGCAGTTATGAACTCAATATTAACAACAGTAAAACAAATGCTTCACTTGGTCAAGCTACAAGTGACATTGTTTACATCCATTATGAGCAACAGCGCAGCCTGAACCAAATTTAAGATTCGCCTCTGAGCCGTGTGCCACCACATTATCAACCATCAAGCTCTTGAGGCTGAGACCGAAGCTGGCCCCTCATCACTAACATGAAAACCATCTGATTCTACAAGTAGCCAAACTCAATGACTTTCAATTACTGTATGGCCAGGCGGGCTACGACCTGAACCCACCTCTGTTGGATTTCAGCCTTAATCAGACCACACCTTATATACATGAGCAAGCGCTGCCATGTGTCTGGCCTTCCCATCACCGCTCGCAAATGGTAGCTTCACCATGTGTAACCACAGTAAACTGGTAAATCTGAGAATGTGTTGTTTAGTTCTAGACGTCTTTCATTATGTCACGTCATATCTCACCACTCAGGGCCTGGCCATGACTGGGGGCTAAATAGGAAAGAGCCAGGAAGGTATGCAGCGTTTGCCAGACCTTTCATTATGGGACTCTGCGTCATTGGAAGTCTATATTAAGTTCAGGGGAAAGTGAGAAAGACAGAAATTGAAGGTTTAGATAAGGACTTTATAACGTACACAGTGTATTTTATTGTAGCACAGTTGTCAGCTAGCAGTTTAACAGGTCATTAGCCACTAAAGGATCATTCCAGTTCTTTTTTAACTGTCTCTTTTAATAGTTTTGGCCAACATTTGTATTGGTTATGATAACATTGCACACCCCAAAGTATCTGATTGACTCATTTCAAGGCACCAATCAATGCACAAACTCAACAACCTCAGACATCAGTCATATTTCGGCTCCAATGCTAGATCTATGCTTTGTACTACAAACTACAAAGCCGCTTTAAAAATGGTCAAAAGATGTACATGGGAAAGTGAAACAAAAGACACCCATCTGTTCAAAGAGAAAATTAAAGACACATTTTGTGTTTAACTAACTAGTGCTCGTACAAGAACATTGAAACGAAGCCTCCAAGCTAGTGCAGGCAGTCAACTAGAGTATATTATTACCCTTAAGCCAAAGTTATACGCAATTGTCCTTGTGAGCATACCGCCAATATGTTCAAACTGTGCAGACCTGTCCGGTCCAAGCCCAAACTGTTAAATTACAACTTCTGGGTCTGTCACATGATGTCATTGGGCCAATAAAGTCCTTTCACCACAGACTTACATTGGGAAAGAGATGTCTGTAGATCTGGGGATATTATTATATATATTTTTAAGTGAATCAACTTCCTACTATGGACACTTAAAAATAGCCCTCATTTAAATCATTTGGTCCTAAAAGTTGTAAAATGTAACAATAAACAGAACGTGTCCGTGTTTTCTGCAGCTGTCAGTGTACGTGTCTCTTTGGGAGTATAACCGAGACTCTACTGTACATGGCATACACATCTATGTCCAACACACCATTTTGATCATGTTGGAGTTGGCTCAATGAACTATAGTAAGTACAGAAGGTCAGTAGTGGGTCTGTAAACAGTGATGGGTGTTTATAACAGACCTGCGGTCTTGTTTACAACCTTTGTCTGACTGCTCATGTTTCTGATCCATCAGACTTGTAGTGGTGTCGCTGCGTTAACAAATCTCAGTACCTAACTTGGGCCTGAGCTCAAGAATAGGAAAAGTCAATTCAAAGGATTCTTTTTTATTTCAGTTGACCAACAAACTTCTGAGCAAACTTCATCCGCTGATGAAGACAGTGAGAGGTTTGAAAGCACTGGAAAAAGCAAGTGGCGAGTTAAGATTTTTGTTTCTTGTTAGACTACTTTTATTCCAAGGTCAAGAACACGGTTCACTCTCAACAAACTTCTCATGTATGCTGGGATCATTTTGGTGTTACACAATAGATAATCTGAGAAATATCATTTTCATTTGTCTCCAAGATGTGAACCTGTTGCCGAGAAGTTTTTGTCAACCCTCATTCCAAAAACTTTTATCTTTACCTTCATCTCAATCCATAATCAACAGCTGACTTTAGCTCTCCAGAGCTTCATCTCTGATCCTAATAGTACCATGCGTCTCCTAAATAAATGCTGTATGGGATCCTGCAGGCAGTGGCTGACGTCTGCAACTGATTGTGGTTTCACTGCTCTGACTAGAATAGTCAGAAATAGCAGCTGTGGTAAAAGGAAGTGATTGCAGTGACGTGTGTTTGTGGACTGATGTGACTTTCTTTCTGGATGTGTGAAGAGAACAGATTCACTGTAATTTCCTGAGCAACAGCAGCAGAGGTAGAAAACGTAAAGTGAAGTGAATACCACATGATAGGACTATTACTAAAATTAAAGGCATGTAAAGACCACAACTAAATTAAAAATTAGACGTTTTTGTGAGGACGCTCTGAGCATCTAATAAAGTCTTCAAGGGAAAAGTCACAATGTATTGAAAAAAATACAATAATTTTTCATCATTCACAACATGTTTTTATCTCACCTGTCACACCTGTATGTCACTGACATCCCAAGCTTCATTCCAAAACCTTAATAGAAGATTTGAATATCAAAAATCCACTTGGTACAGCACTAGTGGCTCAGTCAGATCTAGTTTGTGACGTGGTGGCTGATGATGACACTGATGACCTTGTGTCGTATGCGTGTGTTGTGGGCGTGACTTGGGAGAGGAGGGCAGTCAGACCATGCTAAGTACAATGCAATCAACACACAAACAACCTATGATGTTGTATGTTTATTGTTCAGGTTTGTCATCATTTTGTTTGCGGCCTGGTAGCAAATGCTATTCGGACTGGTGGCTGGGGCCCGCTGAGCTAGATTTTGAAAGTATTAATGCAAAAAAATCCTAGCCCCACCTTTTAGGCCTCCATCCAAAACCACATCTGATTTATTGAATGCTGTCGGAATGCAAAGAAGTTCTCATCAAATATAACAAAAAATGCTTCTAAAATAAATTGTCTATGCTAGTTTACAGTTAATCTTATTTATCATAGGTTTTGCTCTCTTACATTGTTGTCAGAGGCCACAATTGTTCAACCAAACAGTGCCATAAATATATTTTTTTGTTTAAACAACAATATATTTCTTTTGAGCTCAAGGTCCTCTCCTCTTCTCCATGAACACAGCCTGGTGTTTATGTGCCCAGCCTGCTGAGTAACACAACCATCTCCAGCCATTCCACAATTCCAAAGTTGTTCAAGTGATTAACAGGCTCCTTTTATTCCTCCCGCATTAGCCTGCTTCACTCTGACCTGATTAAAAAAAGCCTGCAGTACTTCCTTTTCCTCAGGCGGTCTGGCCCTGTGTGACAAACAGTGGCGAGTACCGAGGGGGAGGTTTCGGGGACAAAGAGGAGGAGGAGAATAGAGATAATAAGATGCACACGTAAAACCCCTCCCGCATTCAAATCTGCCATCCTGGTACCTTTGTGAAACCTGACCTA